AACGTGTCCTTAGTATCTACTGAAGTTACGTATGTGCTTGTTTTAGTGACCGCAGTTTAAAAAGAGATCTTTGCAAGCGTTTTTTTTGCAACGAGCCAGAGTTTGAGTTTCACTGCTCTAAAGTTTTTGCCTGATGAGTTTCTCACGTGGAGTCACAGGAAAGTAGGGCACTGGAGGTCATCTCATCTAACCCCCTGCTCAGGCAGGATCATGCCCCTCTCTGCCATCCCAGAAGCGGCGTCTAACCCGCTCTTCAACCCTTCCCGGGACGGAGTCGCTACAAACTCTCCGTTTCTGTCCCAATGCTGAACCACCCTCACAGTGAGGAAGCTCTTCCTAGCCTCCAAACTAAATTTCCCTTGCTGCAATTTAAGACCATTACCCCTTGTCCTGTCCTGTGCGGCCACAGAGAACAGCTTATCATTATCCTCTTTATAACCACCCTTCAGGTATTTGAAGACTTACCAAATTTCCCCTCAGCCTTCTCTTCTCCAGACCGCATCATCCCACTTCTATTCAAGCAGCATGAAGAAGCCTTCTTCTGAGACCTTTTGTGTTTTTATTGCTCTCTGCTGGACTCTTGCTCATTAGTACACATCCTTCTTGAAGTGTGAGGCCCAAAGCTGGGCACTGCTCTCCCGGTGAGGTCTCCCTACTACTGGAGTGTGGAAGAAACACTGCCCCTGACTTCTAAGCAACACTTCTCTACAACCCAGGATGCTGTTCCCTTTTTTTGCAACAAGGGCACACTGTTGACTTATATTCATCTTAACATCCACTGTAACCCCCCAGTCCTTTCCGTAGTACTGCAACCCCGCCAGTCATTCCCCAGGCTGTATTTCTGCATGCACTTGTTCCATCTTAAGTGCAGGACTTTGCACTTGTCCTCACCGAATTTCATTTGATGAAGTTGGGACCATTTTTTCCCAGTTTATCCACGTCGTTCTGAATCCTAATCCTAACCACCGGAGTGTCTGCAACTCCAACCAGCCTGGCACCATCTGCAAGTTTGCTAAGTGTGCACTTGATTTCCTTATCCAAATCATTAATGAAGATGTTAAACAACACCGGACCCAAGGTAGACCCCTGGGGAACCCCACCCCCCAGGGTAGGTGATCCCTCTTCCCATTTGGAGATCAAGACATTGATGATGACTCACTGAGCACAATGACCTAACTAGTTATGTAGCCATCTTACAGGCTAGATGAAGCTACTGTATTGCCATAGCTCACTAACGAGACTGTCATGGGAGACAGTGTCAAAAGCCTTGCTGAAGGTGCCATACGTCTCAGTCACTGCTCTCCCCATCCAGAGTCTATCACTTTGCTGTCGGAGGAACTCAGGTTGGTCAGGCATGACTTGCCCTTGATGAACCCATGTTGGCTGTTCCTGATCACCTTACTCCCCGCCAAGGTGCTTGGAAACAGAGTCCTTGATGACATGCTCCATAACCCTCCCAGGTGTCAAGATCGGACTGGCCCGTCTAACTCCCCCACTCTTCCTTCTTGCCTTTTGTAGAGATGGCCACTATATTTGCCCTCTTCCAGCCACCTGGAACCTCAGACCTCCACAAATTCTCGAAGACAATAGCCAGTGGCTTTGCATCTCACCCAGTTCATGAGGTCTCTTCCAGCCCTGAACGTCTGTGAATATGTGCGAATTCCTCGATTACTCTGGGTGCATCTCATCCAGCCCTGCCGACGTGCAACATCCAGCTTCTGTAAGCAACCTCTAAACCTGTTCTCTCTTTACTTTAAGCTACTTATCTCCTCCCCTATCCTTGCTGTCAACTGTTTGTCATCTGGTGGCTGACCTTATTCACAAAAGCAAGGCGGCATTAAATACTCCAGCCTTCCCTGCTTTGCCTGCCCGTTATTATTAGCCTGCCCTCCCACTCCATTCAGTAAAGGGTCAACATTGTCCTTGATCTTCCTCTTACTCGGGGCGCACTTGCAGAATTGTGTTGCCTTTGTTGTCCCTTGCTACTTGCATCTGAATGCATTCGTTGGCCTTCCTGGTTTTCTCCCTGCTTGCCCCTGAAATACTTGCCCCTGCACACACGGCCAAGTTCCACTTTTTGTAAGATTTGTTTCTGACTCGGAGTTTGCTGTTTAGCCAGGCTGGTCTCTCATTGCACTGATTGTCCCTTTGCATCAGGATAACCTGCACTTGCATGCTGCGATGGCCTCCTTAAGATACAAGCAGCTCTCCTGAACTCCCCTCAGAGCCTCCCTGAGTTTAAGTCTGCTTTTAAGAAGGTCTTTATTCTGCTGCTCTCCTTCCTTCCTTTCCTATCATTTCATAGTCACTAGTGCCAAAGTGGCCTTCCACTTCATGTTCTCAGCCAGCTCCTCCCTCTTCATGAGCAGCAAATTGAGAAAAGCTTCCCCCAGTTGGCTTCTCCAACAAAAACATGCTAAAGCACAACTTGTTTTGGCTTTTCCCATTTGATAGGGTGTTACTTGGATCCAGCTATGTAACATAACCTAAAAAGATGCTATTAATTCCCAGAATGTGTCTTCACTAAGGAAAAAAAAAAGGTGTGTTCTTGCCCTCCGTTAAATAATGCAACAACTAGCCCAGGGCAAATCCTTGTGAAGACAAGGCAGCTGGTAATATTCCCATGTGTTAGTTCAACTTGACCAGATAACATGTGCAAGAACTGTGGATTCACTAGCATTTACCCCACATTAGCTGTTGCGTGTTCACCAGTGGGGCAAGAACACAACTGTGCTTCGCATGAAGGACCCAATCTAGACAAGTCAGGAGAGTACAAGGCCCTGGAGATGGGTTATCATCCTATGAACAGGGCCATATTTCCCTCCCTCAGACACCCCACGTGCTCCTCGAGGAGTGCAGGTCCCAGCTGTGGTCACTGATGCTTTTCAACCTCCCTTCTCTCCGCTTGCTCACAAGCGGTTGTCGTGTTCACCCTGCAGGACGCTGGCCGGGCCCAGTGCCCAGTTCCTTTGTGTTTGCCCAAGGAACGTCTTTGCAGACCTCTCACGGGCTCTTGAAGCAGCAGCTTGATGTGTTGTGCTACAGGAAGGGCGTTTTCCCCTCCTGTTGCTACAGGTGTGTGTGTGTGGGGCGGGGGGAGGCGAGGGTTGGCTGAAGCCTTTGCGACCTGTGGTCCAGCTGGGTCTAAAACCTGGAGGTCCCTGGTTAGAGAAGCCCCAGGATTAGCCTGATCACCACATGTGGGATCAGGAAGGAGAGTGACCCCACAGTCAGGCCAGCGTAGACAGGGGATGGAGGAAGTTGCCTTCCTCT